GATAAAAATCAAACCATCAATAGAGCAAAGTGTGGTGATCATTTCATTTGAGGATCAATAGTTGGTCAAGATTAGTTTTGAGGAATTTCATAATCTGAGCATCTCTTCTGGCCTCCGGAGCATTCTTCAAATGCGCAATTAATCCTTTCGTGAACGATCCTTTTGCTTTTTTAATTTTCACCGCATATTTTACATTCTGCAGTTGAACTGTCTTTCTTGGAAAGCGAATATTCCCAACAGCGAGAATGATTACCGCGTTCATCGCATTATTTTACTGTATCCAGACGAACTTGCATTGTTCGAAGGTATATTTTAAGAATAAATGCGGAATTAATGGACCACAGCGAATGGAAGACAAAGCAACGGAGATAACAAAATACGAAGCAAGTGTGATGACATTATGAAATTTATGCTCATAATTTTGTGAAAGCGAAAGCGACCGCTTGCGTAGTAGCCAAAAAATATTGCTGCACATGAGTGTGAAGGGAATGATTAATGCATGGATTCAAGATGAGTATGTTACCAAAATTCCGCAAAATGCCGTGTTTTATCAAATCCCCGAATTATTCGGAACTTGATTCCCAGGATCGGAATTCAAAACTCGAGATCGCAGTATTTTGTACGAACAGTGGTAGTGATGTTCCTGAAAAAAAGTCGTGTTCACAATGCACTTCTTAATGAACGTTCGTGTTGCTGGCATGATTGTGTGCGTGTGAATTTAAGCGTAATTTGTGTGAATAGCTGAACATGAATAGGTAACGAGCAGCAGCAGCTGCAGCGGTGCAATTGAGTAGTTGTTGAAATGAGTCAGTATGAAACTAAGATGGATGAAGAAGGATAAGGTGGACAACGAATGCGTGTAGCAAATATTAATATCATGCAAATAGATTCTTCAATACACTCTCGATTCCTCTTCGTTCTTCTCTGAATTGTGATTGTATTTGAACGTCGTCAATGCAAAAAAAAGCAAATCCTGTAAGAGTGACATTTTGCTAGCAGCAATAACCATCTAAGACGTTCACGTTCGGNTTATCGAATGGATCATTCCTTGAACCTTTTTTTGGATGTTTAACTCATACGGAGCAAATTTTCTGTAGTTGTCTCGAAAATAGCGGACGCCTCTCTGTTCCAACTTCTGTAAACACCACCCGTCCTCAGTTTTATAAAAGGAAACAGGGACTCAATAACTCGGTACCATTTTATGCTTTTCTTCTAATGATCCCTGTCAATTACCAACGGTGGTTGATGTTCGTGAATATGTCACAAATAATCAACTGTTAATCATCCATTGACCAACACTTGACGATACGCTTTCGCTGCATTATGTGACGTTGGTCATTAATTCATCGTATCATGCGTAACTGATCGATGAAAATTACTTGTGTAAGCACCAGAATCCTTGTTTTTTTACCTCTTCATGTACGAACGAGCGCGAGAAAAGGTGCTGCTTATTTTGCAGTATTATTTTGCTGCATACACAGAAGATTAATTTCTGGCTAGTGCAATTATCAGTACGTATATTTCTGCAATGCAATTTTCTCAATGACATTTTACAGTGTAGTTGAATCAATGGAATTAGCTGACAAATGCGCTTGTTTTATGCAGTTCATTTTAGTGATGATACCTTGAAATTATAGTAATTTGTTGTGATGTTGAATCGAGGAAACATTCAAGTGTTTTTATTCAAGGCGACTGGATTGAGGATGCTGACTGTCGTGTGAATATCTGGATTGCCATTTGAGTTGAGCTTTGTGATGCACCACTTTCTTAGACTATTATAATGAGTGCACCATTCATAGTCTATTGCAACTTCTCGATCGATCGACTTGAACAACGCTTTTCAATTAATTATTTTCCGACTGATCATCAGTGTGGTTCGTTTCAATAGTGAATCATGAACTTTCCGAATACCAAGGGCCCCTGACTCGATCAAGAAAAAGAGCACTCGACTTTAATTCTACAGTACTCAATTCTCGACTTTAAGAGTACTCATACTTTGCTCTCCCTGATCAACCAACGCGTTCACATCAACAACTGCATGCGAAGAACCGAAACGAGGTATATCTGTGCATTTCCCTACTATACAGGATTGCCGCATCATGGAACAACGCCGGAATAATTCAATTTGAATAAAAGCGCTACGCTTTATGAACTCATGCACCAACCCAATACTTACGCTTCATTATTCCCTATAGTCTCATTGCGAATTTGAATTTTGTTGCGATACTCCGATATGTATTTGATTGTGACAATTATCTATGCGGGACGATGACCGACATGTTAAAATAACTTCATTCAGTCTCGCCAAGTGCTTACTACCGATTGCATTCTTAAGTCTGTGCTTGCGTTCGACTGTCAGCTGATATCCCGAATGGAAACGTTGTTTGGGGGTATTCATGTCAGTAGGTGTTCTTATCGTTCATACTCTTGCTCATTAAAGCATTTGTTCACCATGCTGAATCAGTGTCATTCGACCCTTCAATTTACTTCATTCGCCTTCCACTTTTCAAGTCAAATGCCTCTTAAAACAAACTTTTTACATTCTCTGTAATCCATATTATAGTGAATTTTTATCACTGGAAATGTACTGTTCAGAACCTCAAAGTTACCAAAAATGAAGATGAAACGAGTTGTTGTGCGCTTATTAGGCGATATTCTTGTGCATTATGAGAATTGAACGATGACGTGAATTTAAGTCTTATCGGTGTTATCTAGTTCTTCGTAATCATATTAATGCAACTCTATCTGAAATACTGCCCGATTTCTCAGAATGTGTTTTACTGCGACGAGTGTGATGAGACGTACGCAGACGACATGCTTTCGTTTAGTGTGAATGGCTTATTTGTCTTTTGCTTCTCGTAATCTGATGAAATTAACGATCGTGAATTTATGAATATTCTGAGGTACTTTCTGAAGTTGTCGGGAACTACGCAAAACGGAAATAGAACGTTGCCTCAGGAAAACTTATAAAAGTGGAATCGTGAGAATACATTAACGCGACACCGCGGAGAAACTTAACCGAGCGACCATTTATTTATTCATTTTTGCCATTTTCATTACTTTGAGAAATATTTTTATTCTCTTCAATTTTTATTCAGACGAACACAGTTCTTGCATTGTAAGTAATACCTTAATTGTGATAGTGGATTTTGATCGATCACATTAATGGGAGAAATGATACATTTCAAGTGTTTAAAGTGATTAATGAAAAATAAATTCGTTCGCAGCTCGAGGAATATTTAGCATTTTTAATAGGCAATAAGGATTCATTTTAAGAGGATGCATCCAACTGGTTACATTAAATGCTAGAAATTCACGCGTATAAGAGCCATAAAAGCATTGAACGATTCCACTTGAACATTTCATGAATTTGATTGTTGATTTTTAAATTTATTGATTCCTGTCAACGGATGAATGTCTTTTAGCACTGAATGAATGAATTAGTTTTTAGTCGTACTCATCTTTATATTGTTACGAATTTATTGATTCATGAATGAATTTTTTGAAGATCGCTTCGCAATACAAACAGAAACTATGAATTCGTTGCATTTCCTCTTACCAGTCAATGTCTGAAGAATGTTTCCATTTGTTACGACTCAGCAGCGATTATCCTCTTTATCTTCATTCAGATAAGCGTACAGAGAATGTGAGAATGAAATGATTTGATTAACTCAATTCAATGCAGTCTATATCAGTCGACTATGGCCATTTCGCTCTTCAACTGCAACATTTATAACATAGCTTCAAGAATAATCATCAGATCAGCTATTACTTTTTCAAGTGATACCACTTAAAACAATTCCATTTCGTCACTTGCACTTATGATGGCTTTCAATCGTTTTAAATACGAGATCACAGCTCGTCTTGTTCCAACGAAAGAATACTTGATGGCCCTCAGCCACCAAAAAATACTCCCATGACATTCGCCTGAACATCTAGAAAGGATACATACTTTAAGTGTATGTTCTAAAGAATTCAAGTACCAATGTATTGCCTTTCTGCCACATTGAGTTCATGTGTTATTTGTGTCACGTCATACTTCACCAATGAGTATGAGCACGGAGGTGATATTGTGTTTTCGATAAGACTTCTGGGCTGAATTCGTTAAACTAGAAATATTTCGCTAACTGAGGATATCATTTCTTTGTATAGATTATCTCACATTACGTCATACAATTTGGGAGTTGTTCTGTCTCCAACCAGATATTTTCAACTGTCAACGTTTTTCAGCCTTTCAGACGGTAGCATGCACACAGGTGGTTTGTTGATTAAGGCGTATTCCACCTGAATTCAGCGTTAGAATAATCACTGATATTCTCGAAAAGTGAATTTATGAAGTCATTGATACTTCGTAGAGCGCGTTTGCATTCTCCTTGTATTGGTGGAAGGGGTTGACTGAAGACGGTTGTTGTCTGCATCTAATTGTTTAACGAGATTATAATGATTCAGTTGGGATGGAGCAGTGAGGCCATCAAATGAGACTATTCGTGAGCATAATGCGAGTAGGCGATAGAAGCTAAGAAGTTCATACTGCTTTATCTAGAAGTGCGATGGCAGCAGTTAATCAGCTGCATCTTGGAAAGCAGTAGTTCACAGCGTTTTTCGGCCAATCACACACCTTCCTTAAGATCTCAACCAAACCGCTCGCTTCCCTTTCTAACTGTACCAATACTCAGTAGCCACTTTCATGAGTGACAGAAAATCTTTGCGATAATTCAAAGCGTTTGAGATTTTTGTTTTCTGCTGCATCCAAATTGCTTTGCCCTTCTTTGTTTTTTTTGTTTTTATTGCATCCAAATTGCTATTTTTACGTGTACTTTTAGCACGCTGATAGGCAATATAGTCCACATTAAGAAGCGATGCTGTAGAGCATCGAAAAAATGTTGCATTGCGTTGATGCACAGTGTACCGAATGCTTGACACGGATGAATGAGATAAAGCAAGAGAGGTTGCCTTCATGTCATTTATATCGCCAACGAACGATTTATTGCAGCACAAAAATGAATTACTCGATGAAATGTTGGTCGGAAAGACATCAAGTGCTTTTTGGATCGACACTCGAAATGATCCTCTTCACGTTATTTTTTCCACCAATTTGCCTTCTTGGCATTGTCGGCAACACGCTAAATTTAATGGTATTACTCGGCGCTGAAATGAGATCAAGGTAATAAGCACGCTATTTGTGCTCTTCCGTTGATTATTGTTTAAAATACTAATCAATTTCTCATCGAATTGTTACGTCGTTCTACTGATTCTCTCCAAGAAAAAATCCACTTTACATATCTCAACGCAATCGTTTGAATAGAATAACTGAAATAGTTTTTAATTGACGAGGTATCAAGCTAACGGCACGTCCGCTGAATATGTTTAAAGTTGAAGAATTTGCATGAACTCTGCATCATTAGATACCTAACTTTCGTGTACAAATAGTCGTTGTCGGGAGCATCAGTAAGACACCTTTTATACTAACATTGTCAGTGTCACATCAGATATCGGCTGGAGTCAGCTTCTGGTGGAGTAGGACTGATTAATTCTTTTGGATTCAGGCTTATTATTAGCTTGAAAGCGATCTGTTCAGGCCGCTTTCAAGTTAATAATAATTTTTCATCTATTAGCGAAAGCAAAACCGAGAGAATTTTGATGAAGGCATCGATTATCGATAAGAACAAATCTAAGGGTAATTTCACTATGATGAGATTCATTCATCTCCTGGAACGACCTACAGTCAGCAGGATCCGTCTCATCCACATTGTTCTAAAGTTTGTTTTTTCAACTGCAGGGCTAATTCATTACTGGCTTGTCTTGCGTTTTGTGATATCGTCTTCTTGATTTTGATGATACCACACTCGATGGCCAATTTCAACGTTTTCGCTCTGAATTACTCATTTCGATGGTATTATTTGAGCGCTAAAATGCATCTCATAACATTCGCTAACTGGAGTTCTGCAGTCGCCATTTGGTTTGTTTTTCGAGCGTTCATTTCAGAATTCATTAGCTCGTTCATTCGAAAGCAGTTGTATAGAACTTGTTTGAAGTGAAAGTAGCCTGGAAAATGCATCGAGAAAAAAATTCTTTCTTCAGGTTTCAGTAACTCAAAGGAACATTAGATAAGATGCGTTATTGTCAGGCAAAAGTGAGTGCAATTCAGAGAGGGCATTGAATTCAGGCTAGTTGTTGCGGTATGCGTCGAGCGCGTGATGGGGATACGTCATCCATTCCACACGCGTGGTCACTGGTCACGTTATTGCATGGCAGCATTAGTGGTGAGCATAGTTGTGATCGCTGGCATACTCACATCCTATAATCACTTCTCGCATGTCTGTATTGTGCAAGAGTTCTGCAATCAAACTCAAGTGATGGCGAAATGTTTTGACGTTACGCTCGATACGTTCGTTTTATCGCTTATTATTGTTCAGTCAATTAACGCCATGATCAGGCTGATGACAATACGCAAAACACTAAACAAATGATCAATTAATCACCAATTGTTGATCAAGATCCGAAGTGAAAATAATCCAAAAAATGCATTTCTATAACTTGCAAGTTAACTTATAAATTATAATCATCGCTACGCTATGCATTCAGAGATCAGTTACATAAAAACTGCTGCTCGTTAGCACCAAATTTTGCAGTTCCATTTTGCAGCGAATCCAGCATAATAACATTTCCTCAAATCATTAAGATAGATGTAAATAATCAAATGAGAAGTGAGCAAACAAAAATGTGTAGATGATGAGCGATAAACAGTAATACTTCAGTTGGATTGGTAATCGGACGAACATAACGCCATTGATTCAGCGCAGTTACATCAAGTGGAGCATCATCACGAATGCTGTTTTTGTTGTTATCGTACCAATCATTCTCTTAACCGGTAATCACTCCGAATACATTTAAAAGGAAGAATAAAACTGATAATCACCAGTTTTATTCTTTTCAAATGAAATCGAAATTCTAAACTTACTCACTTTTTTCGAATATTACTGACTTTACAAAGTAGTCGCTTGCAATCATGCGCTTAGCCAAGAGTCTGATCTTTTCGATACATTGATCGAAAAATTATGGATCACATCAAATAAATGAACTGAATTTTTCCAGCCATTTTAAACGATACTTCTCATAAATCTGAATGGATCACTAGAGAAATGCACTCATTGTCAGAGAAATTAAGAATATGAGAAAAAAATTTCACAGAGGTGCGTGAAAACGTTGAAGATAAACGTAATACTCTTGAAATGAATCGATGCATGGTGCATTAAACTGACTGACGCAATTCTGATGGCGCTGACCAATTGAAAGTTACTTTGATGCTGCCTGCAATCGATAGGAATGCTAATGAAACTGCACTTAATTCAGCACTAAATGCCGCACTGATTGTGTTCTTAAAACAAAGATCCGTTATGCTTTATCAAAGTATTTCGGATTCATCCAAAAAGGAGGTGAAGAACGAACAAGGCGCGTCACTGTTTCGTCGCAGCATTGATCAGGTGTTATTTTGCTTCGTTTCGAACTTACAACCTTACCTATTTCTATTCCGTGCCCCAAAAACCTTTCAGTAAGAGAATTAATCTTGACCGATTGCAAACGACATCATTAAGAGAGAACGTAGTGTACTAATACATTGCTTGTCTTTTCAGCAAAACGATCTTACAATTAGCTGAATTCTTTTGAACAGCACATTCAATGCACAAAGATTTCTAGCCGTTTGCGAATATTTTTATATTTGCTACTCAAATGAGTTTTTTCTTTTTGAAACTAGCTCGGTAGTTGTTGTTTAAACTTTAAAATTTAGAGCAATATTAGCCGTTAGTTGACTTTATGAACGCAGTTTTGATAGACTTTTGTAATCAGTGATCATAAGTTTGCAAAATTTTACAGGCAACAAGACAGAGAACAGAACAGCGCATCGCAATAACGGTAGTTGCTATCGTGACGTGCTTCACCATTACTCAGGTTCTGCCTTTACACGCTCTCATTTAACGACACTTCGTTAAAAATTTCCCAGATGGCATTTAATCTTTGGTTTGGATTGTTGTCATTAGATGCAGTCAGTGGTTTGGTATATCGTTTGCAGCAAAACTAGACTGCATCCTTCGAGCAGTTGTCCAGAAACTGATCTAAACGGTCTTTAATGAATAGTTCGCCGATCGTGCTGAATGATATCGCTCACGAAATGCAGAAATAAGCGATCTAAACACGTCGAATGTCAAACACATTACGACTTTTCATGATCAGAAACATGAACAGAAAGGAATTCATTCAGTGTATTTTTAAGGGACCATCAGCTGTCGTCTTATCGATAAATACGTTCTCATCGACACGAACAGTTGAGGCACTCACCGGATTGAATTGGTATCAACTGCAGACAGTAACAGCTTTTCTTGTTATCGTTGGTAAAACACTCAATTTCATACTTTTCTGTCTGAGCAGTGCAAATTTCCGACGACGACTGATGTGTATATTGCGGAATAAACTGAAAGCAGTTCAGAAGACCAGAACATCGACTATCAATGGTACTCTATTCATTTTGCTCTAATTTCTTATAACTCACTCATTGTTTATTCCTATTCACAATTAGCGATTCGACTGCCTCAAGAGCACATAACATAAAATCAAATTAAGAGAGTCGTCTTTTTGTCCATAACTGAAACAACGAGAACGATTGAGAATTCCGAATGTTACTCACTACCATTTTAGAATGTTTAAAGTTGTCACCAATCAAATAAAAAATTTCAATTTCGCAGCAACTTTCATGCTCTCGTTCATAGTCATTTCAGTTACCTTGTTCTCACTGGTACCGTTCTCTGGAAGACGTTCACAATGAAGTTAGCATGAAACATTTTGAAGAGTTCATGCACTATTCCAGAGTTGGGATTTTCTTCTCGATGACGCAAATGGAGCGCTTGAACATCAGTCTGATGTCATCAATATAATAATCCATATCGCCGCATCAAGATGATTATTCGACGTGACATAATTCGGGTTTATTAATGCATCGAAACATATTGATAATATACGTACTCATCCGACTAACTCAATGTTCTTTGCATTAGCATTTCATTTCAGTAAGACGAATTCTATTGGTCTCACCATAATCTAGTCAGTGAGCTCGAACGCTTTGTAAATATCCTCTCTACTCGAAAAACACAATTTTCTGATAGTTCGCGTTGCACTTTATCGTAAAATGATCGAATATTGCAATTCACTCGCCTATTGTACGGTCTTGCGGTCTTATTAAGATGTCAAGTTTGACTGATACTGGCCGGATCTAAACGCCCGCAAGGTCAGATTGGATTTGAAGAAAATGAAGACCCGAAACCGCAGGTTCGGTTTTGTTAACTTCCACGAGGATCATATCCCGTGGAGTCGGGCTCATCTGTTCAGATTTTGCCACAAACCTTGCGAGTCTAGATTCAAATCAAACTTGAGGGACTTAGATGCCTTTCCCAGGCCCGGCTCAACAATAATTTTGAAAGTGTTCAACAAACAGGAGCCTTTGAAACGTTGTGGCCATTCGAGTAACAATTGATAAATGATCGATGAAAACGAGTAGGATTTCTTCTTTCTAAATACTTCAATCACCTGTTCATTACTGCCTTCTAATTTTTGAAACTTTCAGGAGCTATTATATCGTGATAGAATATATACTTAGTGACAAGAAAATTTACGAACTGTTAACAACAGAAAGAGAGAAATATTCGCTTGGAACATAGTGAGTTTTATGTGGAAGCATCATGGAGTACTATTTCTTTGTTTGAAATAAGGTTCACAGATTGAGTTGTCGCTGAGACTGAGATTTGAGGTGTTTCGATACGAATTTAGATTTAAAGGTTGTTACTGACGGGACCACAAAATTGGCTCTGACTGTGTAAAAGATAATGCTGAATTTGCGCTTTTGTGATGGATTGAAACTGCTAGCTTGAACAACAATCATTTCAGCTATCGTCGCAAACTACCAATTGTACTTGCCTCTGAGAGCTATTTTGACTGTAAAATTTTCATTTCTCATGAATCGTATGAGCAAATGCTCAGAATCATGAAACTGATTCATTGTGTATATTGTTTTTCATTAATTTTGCTTTGTTGACTNTTTGGATCACTTATGGTGATAAGAACTGTAACTGAATTTGTCAATCCAACTTTTTCGTAGTTCTTATTGTCACTTTTCCAATTTCAATATCTTTGAAAATCTTTTCAATCGGTTATCGCCGCTGTTGTTTTGCTGTTATTCTTTTTTATCTTCATACACCATCAAATGTTGAACTCTCAAATTTTTGCTTACATTTGAACAGTTTTGTTGAGCAATGTCGAGCTGGATTGATGATCCTGATACGTTCTGAAGTGACTGACTGCTGTTTGTTTTGAGTCAAGAATCAACTGGCTTATTATAACTCTTGTTGCATGTTAATTTTTCGAATGCAATTGTGCGATCATATGTATTCAGTTTTAATGTTTTCATTTGAACCGTAATTCGAATGAAATGATCTCGATTTCCTTCTCCATTTCGCGTCTTCACATTTGCTTGCTGCCTTAGCTGACAAGGAAAATTCCCTAGCAGTCCGACGTGGAAGTTTTGCTTGAACTCCGTAACTTCGTTTTGGTAATGTTTTTGTTCTGGATCTCGCTTTTGACACATTTTTCGTCATTGCCCAAACCTGAGGTTGACAATAAATGATGATGACTCACCGTTTGACTTGGCTGAGGTAATTCAAATAAAATGATCACTATTCGTATTTGTGTACTGTCATCGTTCATCAGTTGAACGAGATGAGCTTTCGCATTGCTTTTGTAAGCTATTAATGCAAGAATAGTGTAGGCTGTTAGTGAAAGAATTCCATAAACGATAACGGTTATAGAAAGGAAATGTTGGTGGCATTATTAATGAGTTTCGTGATCATTTTATTGCTTAAGAATGTGCAATTGTATTGTATTTGAGCCACGTATGTCAGATATTCATTTTATTCATTCATTTGTTGTTTATTTTATCTTGTACTCTGATAAACAGTTCATTTAATGTATCGCATATTGAATACTTTCGATTTCAGAATCAATGAGTTTATCATACGGCGATCGTGTTAGAAGGCACGATTATTAGACCGTGGTATTGATAAATTTGCATGCAAAGTGCTTTTCACTTTTTATCATGCACAAGATGAAAAACCTTTCGAGCGCAGTTTACCAAACAGCACTGACGGTTTTGGTATACCGCGTTGTGGGTGTTCGATCTTGTTGTGGATCATTGTATGGCATTTTGTAGCTTATGTTGCGCTCTATTGTTTGTTGCGCTTGACGTAACATACATATGAATACCGTTATGGATGTTTCCTTTTGGGTGTTGGAACGGAAACGAAAAAAAATTATCGTCTTTATTTTGCTTTATGCGAACAAATCCAATAAATGCGTGAGGAAAGCGGTTCAAAAGATGAACAAACAGCATTATTGAACTATGGATCGTGGGTGGAACAACCATAGTTCATTGGTTCCGCAAATATTCAATTGAAAATAATGATCGGGATCAGTGTTGGAAGAGGAGAAGATACTGTGGGAGAGTATCGAAATGCGAGTAGCTTTCAGCTGGGGATGGATCATTTCCGAGAGAGGAATCCACAATCAAA